TTTCGATATACATTTTTATATATTATACTTTTTATATAATTTATATATATATTTATATTATACTTTTATATAATATTTATATATTATAGTATATTTGTTTAAAAGATGTATAAATTTCTTAAAATTAAAAGCCTTATAAATTTTCTACAAATATGTATACAATTAAACAAATGTAGACGTAGCAAACATTAGAATAATTATAATGCTTTACCATCGTATCACGTATTGGAGAAATGACAAAAGAGAGATATAATACTATACTTCTAATAGATACTCTTGCTTTAGCCTAGATGGCTCAGGTCCAAAATTGTTATTTTGAGTGATTGCAAGTAATATCTCTGAAGAATAATTACAAGTTACAACAATCTACGTCAATTCATTTCGCTTTTACATAATAAAATACACTCTAACTCTATTTTTATTAAAGTTATAAATATTTAAAAATTGCGATTTTAATATGAAAAAGGACGGTTTGAAATCTCTAGCGGATTGTATGGTTTGTGATACAAACATGAATATGTCTTATAATAAATAAACACGTTTATATAATTCGTAGCTGCTTTTCGTTATGTGAGCAAGTCACGAGAAATTATAAAACGCGCGCTTCGCGCGCGCAGTTTATGGTTGGGCATTGTATAGTTTTAAGAATTTGTATACATGCAAAGAAGTAATTGTACATGCAATGTCAATTTAAAATAAAAAGTAATTTATCACTCACTGATACGATTCGCAACAGCAGAGTTGTACATCGTTAACTGTGTATGTCAAACTGTAAAAATACAAATATGTATATGATTAGTACAGACTAATTATGTAAAATCGAAATTATTGTATTAAATATACTTTATATTTTATATTTTTTAAAATAGATATTTATTAAATTAATTTTATACAATACTGAAAAAGTCTTTCTTTTAAATATAAACTCGCAAAATTGTATACGTATGGTTTTGTCTCTAACACTTATTCGAATCCTCGTTCGAATTATTTGATTAAATACATAAATGAAATACAGAGAACAGATGCTTTATTTTGCACAAGTAGCAAATAACATAAAAATGTATGACACTTACCTCACCATTTCTCCGCCGTTGCCCGATGCCTCCTAGACTCCCTCGTCCTCTCAGATTTTCTTGTTGCACTTACACAACACTCACTCGCGAAAATCATCGATCGCGCGAAATTTCGGGCACTCCCGTACGCGATGTGAAATACCGCGAAACGCACAAAATATTATTAACACTTGTAGCGTGACTTTCCGTCACACAAATCATTTAAACTAACTTACAGTTTTGAATCGGAAGAAGTAATGGACAAATCACTTTTAAATTAGCGATACCAAACACAAAGCGTTCATCGGAATCCAAGCATCTGCGGTAAAGAAGTATGTAGCTATTAGCCCGCGACGAAACGATATTTTACAATCTTTAATGCCATTCAATCTAATCCGTGAAATGAATTATGTGAGCGAAATCTTCAGCGATAAATAATTGTTATTTGTAACAGTTAATTGAGATAATTTTTGATTAAATTTACATAATGTAACGATACGTAAGAAGCGACTTTCTCTACTTCCTGCTCGTTCGAATCGCGAAGAACGACAGAGCGAATTACAGCGTGAACGCTGAAGTCGCACTTTTTACAAATTACACGAAATCGATAGATAATTAAAAGCGCGGTGCGTAAACGAGATGTAACCGCGACAAAGTACCACGGTTTACCTTCATATTTTAGATGAGTTAGTCTTGCGAAATATCTATACGTTGATAAAGAGCCGTCGTCTCAACATGCAATTCGTTTCTCCTTACAAGTTGTAGAAACTTAATAATTACTTGAGGAACGTTACTTGTTACTGATAAAGATGTACAAATTAATAGCGATTTATCCCTGCATTCATCGCGATCGAGTCTTGGAAACCGATAACGCAAATAACGCAAAAATAATACGACGCACGGAGCGACACTCGACACTGCTTGTCGGCTCGACGTTCGGCGAGCGAGTGAGAACGCGGCGACCTTCAGATAAACGATGGTACGCAAAAATATCGTACGTCACCGCGCCGAGAGAAAAACAACTACGAACGTTGAGAATTCGTTGCCCCGCCTACGAAATTGAAAATTCTGTACTTAATATTTTACATTACTTTGTTCCGTGACTGTTACTACGTTTTGTGTATCATTCTCCGGACTTATTGGTATCTTCTGTTCAATCGAGAAAATGTATCGGAACAAAACTCGTTGTTACTTAAATTCTAATTACTAAGATTAGAGATTTTACCTCAATAGTTGGTGTATACAAATGTATATTTCTAAATTGCAAATTTTGATTTACTATGAATCTAAAAGAGAAGTGAAGCACACCGCGCTTCGAGAAAACCAATCGGCATCGCAGAAAAGAGGCCTCAACTATTCGTTATTAACGATATTCGCGCTGTTAACATCTCTTTTTGAGAAAGGAATTAGCGAAATGCTGTTTACATCTAAAAATCGTTCGCTCTTATATTCAATGTATTTGCGGGTCAAAGTTTATCGAACGATATTTTAGAGAAGACCATTTGCACTCATGTCTATTGTCACCCGTTTGTTTTCTAATTGAAACACCTGATATCCCGCTCTCGCATTTTGTTACGAAGCACTCAGCAGCCGCGATCCATTCCTACTATTTTCAGTATTTTTTATTTCGTGCACCATACGTTTCCTAAGCTTACCGTTGCGTGTACAAGCCGTCTCGTCACGAACTCGGCGGAGAGAAACCACTGGCGAAATTTACGTGGTTGGAAAAAAATGTGAGTATATCGCTGATTCCCATCCGAATGAATACGTGTCTCGCGGGCGATAAGCGCGGGAAACGGGATTGACGTGAAAGTTTCGCGATATTTCTCCCCCGCGTAAATCGCGGAGAACGAGGTACATGGAGTAGGCGGAAACACAAAACCCTCGCGTTGTAAGATGAAAGAAAGGGAAGCTGCCGGGAATTGCATAAATTTGCAGACTGATAGAGCTTCAAGTACCGTGTTATACTCGTCCTCGTCCAAATTTATCCCCGTTCCGGCGAGAATGAGCATTAGGCGAGACAGAAGCCCGGGGATGGGAATGATAAAATGTCACAACCGATTTCTCCATTTCAGCGACGTAACCACTTAAAACTCTTTGAAAAATTGCGACATTGTATCGCGTTTTAAGTTTAATGTTAAATCGTATTAAATTGAATTTATTGGAGAGTTTACTTATCGCATATATACTTAGTCTTTATTTTATTCTATTCTTTCTGTTCTCTCTCTATACAATTATTTATCAAAATTTGATTAATAAATAAAATTCTTTCATATATATATGTGTGTGTGTGTGTGTATATATACACACATATTCGTTAATCAATATCCAATAAAAAAAATTATTTCATCAGTTTGCAGATTATTTAAACTATATCAATGCATTCATAAAACGTTTGGAATAAATATTTAAATAGAATACAGCAAAAATTGTGTATGCTTTCTACGATTACTGAACATAGTGATTTTGGTCAAGAGCGTGATTGAGCACGTTTTCTACATCTTGATCTGAAATTAGTGAATGAGGAAGTATGATCTGTACGATTTCTGTGTCAGGTACAAATGGCTGATAGTGTCGTCTTCTGAAATATGTGCTTCGTGCACGCAATCCCTTAATTATTTTAATCTGGAATTTAGGTAAATTGTTTAGTGCGAATAGGTTTTTTTCCCGCAAATTGTGGTTATAATTCCAACAAGTTACTTTATCTTCATTTTGTTTGCATTTTGGAATATTGTAACAATTATAACTTTATAGATTCTAAATAATTTAAATTGTATTATCGTTACTATTTTGTGGTGCTAGTTAAAAAGTTACAATACATTCACTTCCAAAGCAAAAGGGAAATCTGATAATCTTGAATAATGTAATAACAGCCGATGCTAATTGGGGTCTCGTTAAGAGACCGAGATAAATCCTTTTCTTTTATACAGTTGCATCGGATTCACTAACCAATTCCGTTTATGAATTGTACTCTTTCTATTTTTGACATTGTTCGTCGATGCATTGTAATGTAAATTGGCAACAGTAAATATGCCGAAATATAGTTTTTATTATTTAAAGACTTGACGTGTCCTGCGTGATATAATTTCCTCTTGTAACTTTTTTTCTGAATTAAATAAAGGCTTTTTACTATGAGATGGTAAAATGCATTTTATTAAAAGATTGCGATCATTTCTCGAAACGTTTGAATTTATCGTCATTCTTCGTGAGATAACGATATCGTCATGCAGTCGTGTTGTACACTGAAAATGAAGAAAATAATGTGCTGAAAGAAGCGCTGTCAATCTGATAAACATCGCGTGTCACTACTGAACTCATAAATATGTATTAAGTTGTACTGCAATGTATACTTCTTTGAATGGGAAACATGTTATCGATTGCATTTATAAATGAATGCGCTACATTTTGTTGGAATAGAAAATCGGCGGACAACGATAATGAACCATGTAGCAGCAATGCGGCGCGTTATTTCACCTTTAATTAAATAACGGTCTAGCAAAGAAGGGAATTACCACGTATAAAATGTAATTGTGACGGCAGGACTCTTTGACGAAAACCATGCCAACCGGTTAATTTCGCGCATGTATTACAGGGTAAACACATTAAATATTATACGCCTATCCGCGTTTGATCTCTCGCTTAAAATTAATTCTGGCGACCGTACGCAACAATCTGCCTTATAAATGATAGATATTTATGGAGCATGTGACGTATGTTGCATACGTCATTATCGTATCGCGTACATTAGATTCAATTTTATATTTAGCTAATTGACCATTATAGAGATTTTTTATCTCGAATCACTCTACCATAAACGTAGTTTTCTATTCAGTGCACAGAAAAAGAATATTCTTCTTTTGAAAACATGTTTAGTTTCAACGTGAAAATCTTGATATGAGATTACATTGCGTTAAAGGAAGAAAAACTTACTTGAATGAAGCACTTTTATAAAATTCAATTCCTTTATCTGATTTAATATCATGGGCTGTACATATGTGTCGAAGTAGTAAATAAACAGTAGTATATGATTTCATGCAATTCGAAAAGTTACATTTAGTTTCTGAATATAATTGATCGACAAGTTTAAGTTTAATATGGCATTTTAAATGCGTGAAATAAGAAAACACTTTATTAAAACATACAATTAAACATTTTGGATATAGAAAGCTTGTAATTATTATGTTAATACTGTATGATTTTTTAGTTTAATATTTAGTTTTATCAAAAAATGTAAAGGTTAGACAACAATTTCTTTAGAAACATTACTATGTATTGTACAATATGTATTGACTTACGAATTACATGTCATATACATATGTATATAATTATATAATTATATAAACAAAACTAAAAGTATACTTATATCATCTAACAATACAGTTATATAATGATATAAATGAAAATTTATAAAGGAATCAATTTATAACGGAAAAAATAATAACTTACATTAACTGCCTGCTACATATTGGATCATTTTAGACTGAATTTATTGTAAGCTTTCTCAGAACATGTTCAGTATTTGAAAATGACATGTCTCACTGTGTGTATACCTTGTACAATCCTTTTTGTACAAATATCCATAAATGCTTGCTAGCATCTGGATAATTTATTTTCAATACGTGAAAAGCTTTGAAGCTCACATCTAAAGCTTCTAACGTTGATTCCGTTGAATACAACACTTCATCAATCGTGACATATGAGTTTGATACGTTTGCAATAGAACCCATAACTATTATGTACGGTTGTACATACGTTTGCATTTCTTCTGCTTTATCGATAGCTTCTTGATGAATTTTTGTAATATCAGCAGAAGTCTAATATAAAAACATCAAGTTTTTAATTAATTTAAATAATAAAATAGAATCAATGTATTTAATTCCTTAAAATTAATTGAAACGCTATACGTAAATATTTATACAAAAATTTTAAATACCGATATACTTACAGTAACACATTTTATTATGCTATTTCTTGACAAAGCAATAGATGCTTTATTATGATTTTTCTTTGTCGCAATGCCTTTTTGTTTGACTTTTTGCTTCGGAGGTTCATGTATGAAAGAAGCTGCATTGTAATTTGCTCTTTTGGAATGTTTTGGAATCTATAAAAAACAAAAAAATTATTGAGTTCTAATGAAACATATGTATATTGTATATAGTACATTCATATATACACAGTTGCGTATAATATTAATATAATAAATATAATAAATTACTTTACCTTCAGATATGTCTAAATTCAATTTTTCTATTAACTCTGAGAAATCATCATTTTTATTGGTAAGCCGTATACTTTGCTTTGCTGTACAAAATGCATATTTTCATAAATTGTTGAAATATTGTGAAAATGTGTTGACAAAAGATATGTGAGAGCTGTAAAATAATAATAATGCAAGTAATGGCTGCGTTCAAGCAGAAAAAGCAACTTTACAACTTGTCAATTTTTTAAATATGATTGGTTTATAACAAGATAATACTTCAAACAGTCTTAAATATAAGAGTGTCTTATAAATATCTATCGATGCACAATGCATATGTTGCTGATTCTCTCTCTCTCTCTCTCTCTCTCTCTCTCTCTCTCGCTCTGTCTCGCACATACAAGCACACGCACACGCACACGCCGTTATTATTAATTAGTCAAGTACATACATTCTAAACGCACGTGGAGGCTATCGAGCCAAATCTTGAGCCAAATCTCAAGCTGCAAGCATTTCGGCGAGTTTATGTTACTCATCTCGATAAAAACCACAGAAATACTCGCCGAAATGCTCACGGCTCGAGGTTTAATGTCAAAGTTTCAATAAGGTCAAAGTTTCACAACTCGATAATCTGGTTACATCTATCTGTACAAATATGTTCATACGCAAATCTTACGAATAATGGATACTTATTATACTTCGAAAGACTTCTCAACTTCGATCAGAGTAATTATGCATAAAAGGGGCCATCTCTCCGATTTCATTTATTTTTTAGTATGTTGTTCGGGGGGTCTCCCCGAGTAATTTCACACACACACACACACACACACACACACACACATATATGTTATATATAAGAGTCGGACTCAAATAGTTTCGAAGATATAAGCTAAAAAAGGATGAAAATAATAAATACAAAAATAAGCATTTGATAAGATTTAAACCCATGTGGAACCTCGCTGTGCATTAAAAAGTATATGTATGGAGGCAGCATGTTCCGTCCCCTCGCAGGGGGGCGAAACATACTGCCTCTACACATATACTTTTTAATGCAAATCAGATAGTTGGAGATCATATAATTGTGATTTTAAATTTGAATTTGAATGATTGTGAGTTTAAATATTTTAAAGTAAATCGTAAGATGAATTTCATCGATCCTGATATCGGTGCTCACACACAAAACATCGAGCGTGCCTAGCGAGATCCACGTGCTAATATTCCTCGCTACGGAACACAGTCAAAAACATTATATAGGATAGCTCGCTGAATTTCTGTTTCGTCGTAAGTATAACTTTGATACACGGATTACTGCACTTTTCGATGCAATGGCTGAAATCTTTCCAATTCCTAATGATAACGTTGAATAAATTATTATCAAATGCTTATTTTTGTATTTATTATTTTTATCCTCTTTTAGCTTATATCTTCAAAACTAATGGAGTCCGACCCTTATAATATACACATATGAAATTACTCGAGAAGACCCCGCTAATAACATATAAAAAAATTAATGAAATCGGAGGAGAGGCCCCTTTTGCATAATTACCTCGATCAGAACGCACAACGGAACAGTATAATTCAAGTGCGTCGAAATTTTTTAGAAGAAGGTTAAATGCTCACGAAACGAACGCATCCGGCGATACTTATGTGGCCAAATGATAGGAGACCGTTGGACAGACAGACAAAGGAAGTAGTATGATATCACGCGCGCTACCACGTCACCACGCGCTGACTTATTGTGATCGAATATCAGCTAATAAATAATAAGATAAGACGGTTTTATTTCAAGAGGTCATCTTTGTTGAACACAGTTATTAGAACTTGTGAAAACAATATGCAGAAAAACACTTAAATATAATAGAAGAAAATGTAGGTGTAGGTAAAAAAATACAGTTTTTAAATTTAAGAAATGTTTACTATAAATAAAATTGTTTTATTTAGTAAAAACCATCCGGAAGCCATGAAGACTAAATAAAATTGTTTTTGCGTCTTTATCGGATATATCATTTTTACTTAAGTAAACATTTTCTACAATGTAATAAAGTCTTTTTAAAATGTATATACTTCTTATAAGTAACTGATTCACTATTTTTGCACATTTGAAAAACTAAATTTAAACAAATATGTACTAAAATGGTTTTTTTAAATTAAAATACGAAGATTCTACATAAAAAAAATTCTTTACTACATTTCAACAAGTATTGTACTGTAATGTAGCAAATCTGAATTAGATTTAAACTAATGTTTCAATAAAAAATCATTTATTAATTTTAATGCTTCGATTTATTATAATAAAGAGAAAAACTTTTAAACATTATTTATTTAATTTAGTTGACCGTATCTGGCAATTTTAATGTTAAAGCATCGCGACGTTTCAACCATGGATTTTGGTCCTTTTCAAGTGATCTGACAATACAAATTAAAATTTACAAATTATTACATAGATACAGTAAACATTCCGAGATATTAAATTAACAGTTACCTGAGATAGTCATGTACATAAATAGCGTTGAGATTTTCAATGTCTTTTTGTAAATTGATCGCATAATCGACCTAACTTAATTCGTGATATCACTATTTATTTATTTTTTGACCTATTCTTTGACTTTCACTTGTTTTTAATTATACCCTCTGGCTAATATTTTAGCCAGTCATGCTCAGTCATCTCTCAAGTAAAGTTTGTGTGTTGTAAACTTCGACAAATAATTTTTATAGCATGTAAGTGCATGTATTATTAATTTCAACTGAAATTTCTGTTTGTTTCTCTCTTTCTACATAACACTCTCATTTTTAGTATGAGATTATAATGATAAGTCTTTCTACATCACCAAAATACACGCGAGTCTATGTATGTACATGATTATTTCAGGTAACTGTTAATTTAATATCTCGGAATGTTTACTGTATTTGTATTGTCAGATCGCTTGAAAAGGACCAAAACTCATGGTCAAAACGTCGCGATGCTTTAACATTAAAATTGCCAGATACGGTCAACTAAATTTGATGTTGTTAATTATTGCTGGCGACCCTGAAGATTTTCCTGTGAGTTTATTATTTATTTTAATTAAGTAAATCTAATTTTAGTAAATATATTTTCTAAAATTAGGAAACTTTTTTCTCAGTATAGAGATTTGTTCAAACAAATTGTGTTATGGTGACTTTGCTACCCACAGTAGTGACAACGAACGTTTCGACTTTAATCACATTTGCAAGCCGAAAATTTCTTTCCGCACATCTCGCACTTTACCCACTGAATATCATTTGCTGATATTTTGCCGCGCGAATAAAATGGGTTACGACTTATACATTTCTTAGCTTCGTTTGTAGACTTTTTTCCTTCAGCGCTTTTGCCTGGGCGTTTCCTGTCTGCCTTCAAAACATTGCCAATGGACGTTGAACCTCTAGCCTTTATTTGCTCGGTACTCTTCTTCGAAAGCTCCATGACTTCTGCTATATTTACCGCTTTGTCGAAATCCAAGTCCTTTTGTTTTAGTAAAACACCTTGAGTCTTCTTGTTTAACAGTCCGAAAACAAATTGATTACGTAGTGCAGTCTTCAAATAGTCCCCGAAATTGCAATTAATGCTGAGGTCTCGGAGTGCTGCTACGAATTGCTGGATAGTTTCTTTCTTGAGCTGCTTCCTCTTATGAAATTTGTAGTTTTCGGCTAATTCGGACGGGGGAGGCTCATAAAAGTTTTCAAGTGCCTGGATTAACACCTCATAAGGTTGTGAAGATGGATCTGACGACAAACGGTCGCACAGGACGTTGTACGCTGTCTGGCCCACATAGTGTAACAAATAGTCCGCTCTTGCGCTTTTCGTAATGTTGAAAATGCGAAAACTGCTTTGCAGACGTTGCACCCAGCGTTTCCACGATGTTGACGATGGATCGAATGCTTCTATATTGAGTGAACTGGTGGGCTTGACTCGAATGGAACCTGATGGACTTGCCTCGAAGACCGTAACCTTGGGCCATGTCGTAGTCACGTAACCTTGGGCCATGTTCGAAAACGTATGGTATATAGCGCTAATCTTGGGACCCTCGTGAATGCTTCTCTCACTCTCTCGCCGTTGGCCTTGTTGCTCGTCGAATTGGTTATAGGAGTGGTCGATCGGGAATTTTACAGGCACAGCGGCATCCTCGTCGCCAATTTATGTTGTGTACGTGGGTCAGTAATTCTGCAGTGTCGTATGAAAATGTACTCACTTTATTTAATGCGTTATAAGAATACCGACCTTAACGATCTTAATATGACGAGAGTCACCGTGCGAGTGCTCTCTATCGCTGAGCGAGCATTGATATACCGCTTAGGGGAGATAAAAGAAACGTAGTAGTACTATTAGTAATATATTCAAGTAGAATATTATAATACTTAGTCGCTTATACTTGGCGCGAGACACTACCGTGTCTCGTGATTAGTCATGAAAACATCAAGATGACATCATTTTTTGATCATTTTTTATGCATCATCGCGAGGTCAAAATAGCCCACCGAGAGCACCTATTTGTGACGTCATTAAGATATCAAAATGTTGTAAAAATGATCTTGTTTTACAAAGCAAAGTTAATTAAATATTATACATTGAAAATAAATTGAAGTAATATAAGGTAAACATAATATACGACTGATCATGTAATCTGTAATAATATATTATTATACACATTACGAATATCATAAAGCAGCATGTCATAAATCAGTCATTGCAAAGTAAATCTTGTTGTCGATCATTTTATGACGTAAAATTCATCATTTTAATGTCACATTGACGGTTTTGTGATTAACTTGTTCTACTTGGGATATCTTGGTGTACAAATTATATAAATTATATAAGAATCTCCTAACAAAAGGCATTTGACAAAACACTTAAAGCGTTACTGATGATATTTTCTGTTGCAAGAAGACATATTTGTTCGAAATACTGAAGTATTACAGTGAAAATGGCACTTTTTATCAGACGTGATTTTAAGTAGAACAAACAATTCCCTGGCGGTTTGTTCGTCGAGGTCAAATGTTTTCGCTTTCTAGATTTCCGCGTAAAAAAAACTTCACAAACTCGCTAAAAAGGGGTAGAAAAAAGGGACACAAAGATATAAAAATATCACTGCGATAATGTTCGCTACTTAAAAAGCATTTTGATAACGTTAATGCTTCAGCGTAACGATAGTATCGGCGTACTATTGACGTCGGAATGCTATCGGGCACGAGGCATGACAGGTAGAAATTAAATTTCTTATACGAGATTCTTAAACGTATATGCATTACAGAAAGCACGAGTTTAAAATGAGATCTTACATGGCAATAGTCGGGTCAACCTGCATAACGACGTCTGTGCGTGCACAATAATTTCAGTTGCGTTGCATTGCATTCGCAATTGAAGAAAATAACATATTTCGCATTGTAATTTACTATTCGGAACTAATAATTAATTTTCCCGAGAACAAGTCTGCGTTGTAGCGCGGTAATCTGAGTCTAAAATGTAAGCGCTTAAATTATGATCATAGAATAGTCTTTCTTTCCCTCTGCGGTTATACGCAAGCAATTAAACGACAAATAACGCTCCCTGTCCGCGGCACTTACACAATTGACATCGAACATATACCTGCTCTGTTACGGCCACATTTTCTAGGACATAATCATACATATAAAGCGCGAAGTCCGTCGTGCCACACGCGAAGGAAGGTTTTTGCGTTTCATTTGCTTGACCTTGACAATACTATCACAGTCATTAGCAAAAAGATTTTTATTATCGACAGTAGTACTTTGATAAAAATCTTAAACCGTGCCTAACATCAGTAAGGCTTAAATATGCGATATAATATCGCTTGCAACGATAACTGTTTCAACGGTTTCGCATGCTGTGAGATAAAAAAAACCTTACATTTTTTACATTCCGTATACTAATACCCATAAATTCTACTTTACCTAATCTACTTTAAGAATTTATAAAATACGAACAAATAAAGAGAGAAACGTTTATTTTAATCTGTAAACTGCAAACTTTCAGTACCAAAAGGGACGAAACGAATGAACCTTGATTGAGGTTTTACCGTGAGAAAATTGTTACGATGCTAGTTGGAAAGAAAATGCGGCGGATATTTGTGGGTATATTGCACCGATATTCAAATGATATATCCCGTCTCTACGATTCTAGGATGTCCGAGAGATGACTGGGTACTGAGGCGGAGAGGGCGCAGTGGCTTTGAAGGGGTTGCTGCCGCCTCGGTTTGGTGGAATGGAGATGAACGGCACCGAAAGCAGCCTGAATGGCACCGAGGTCAATCGCACTTCCTCGCCGATCTTCACCATCGGCACAGACTTCATCACGCAGTGGTAAGCGCGCGTATCTTTTATTCAGAACGGGCAGATTGGCGCATAACCGCGGGAATGCAGTGTTGTGTGCGAAACTATAAACGTGACGTAATATAACTTTCTGCAATGCCAGGTAGTCCCCTGGGCTTTTGCAAATTTCAGCGCGCAGAGAGCATTGCACAGAACCGCAATTTCTACTTGCCATCACGCGGCCGATGCGCATACGATGGGTAAACGCCACTTATTTTCTGCGCGTATTATATTTTAATGCGTTACCAGAACTGCGGATTGCTTGAATTAAAATTTTCTATAGGATTGCCGGATTCTAACTGCCGCAGTCGCGTTTGTTAATCTCTCAGGAGATTTGTAAGCCGCGGTAAAAGCAGCGTCATCGAAACTGTACCCGCGAAAAAAAAGAGTATCAGCGAGGCTAAAAGGAACGGGGTGTGTTAAACATTTATCTCAAACATATGTTTTTCGTTTTTTTTCCTCGCTCATTATGAAAATTTTTTATTTAACATTATTCTGAAAGTATGAAAGCCGCGGCTTTTTATACTCCCTGCATCTCGCTTTTTCGCGGCTACAGCGGTTTGCTCTCAAATCCTTTTTGCTGACGTGTACTTGCACTATGTAACACTATTCGTATCCATCGATTGGTAACATCTCCGAAGGATGTTGCGCTATAGGAAGTGCGGGACAGATAGATCGACGGCGCAAAGTCATGTTAATAAGACAACGGTAACCGATTATACATATGTACATTTAATACAAATAAAAATTCTCTTGTATATAATATTAATCTTTTAAACAATTAATAAAATGCATAAGGCCCTAATGTGAAAAGCCAAATACGAAGTAACAAAAGAGTAAGAGCCAAGGTAGGATGTTAGTGTCTAATTAATTTTAAGTCTCTAATTAATTTTAAGTCTCTTAATTAATCTTTTAATTCTTTAGAGATACAGCGATCTTATTACTGTGTCACATAAATAAGTGTCACTTATTTGTTTTAGTGAAAAGGCGTCTCTTTTATTTCTTGCCTATAACGCACGTATCTCGTAATCAAAACTTACGAGACAACAATACCGTTTAACGTAAATGCTGGTCTGATTAGATTTGCTTGCAATCTAATCAGACGTCCGTTTGCGAAAGACCACAAAAAGGATGTCGTTGTAAACGCGTTTAGATAAGCGATTCGTCATTTGGCGGAATGGTCCTCTTCAATTCCAAGCGGCTTCGCCAAGTTGCCGTTACCTCTGGGGTTGCTCATTATCGAGGGGTAATAACATCACGCGGCGCGTCTTATACAGTCAACGGCAGCCGTTTGTGGGAATATCAAGGCTAAAGGAAATGAACTTCCACCAGGGACAAAATTGAAGTAAAAAAATTCCCTCGAGAAGTCGTTCTCTCTTTTCGAGACAAGATTTTCCCTCAGACTCTTTTCCACCTTAATCACCAAATACCCAAATAATCTTCGCAAATTCTTCGAATCGTTACACTCGGTTCCCATAAAAGAAATATTGCGCCATAGTTCGAGCTGTTTAAAATTGTTATCTGAAAAAAAGGAATCGGATTAATTTTTTTATATCTAATTTGACGCAAGGTTAGACTTTTTTCTCAATATATACTGTGATGTAGAAATGTCTTAAGGTACATTACGAGGAGCAAAGAGGGAAAATTTTTTCTCCTATCTCAGGATTACAAGTACGACTTGCGCACTCGACACAAAAACGTACCAGATCAACAACCCTCTCTTTCATCTTTTCTCATAAATCTGTGTTTCTGAAACTATTACTGAATCTATTTTAATGAAAATTATTTACCTCGGCATGTTCCGCCAACTCTTATTTATTATTAGTTCGCTCGCATACATAAGTACGTTTGGCGCGATGACATTTCAAACAAACAATGCTGGTGCAACGGCCATTTGTATACATCATAATCGACATTTTGCGCAAAGTCGATTTACGTGGTCGAACTTTCATCACTGCGCATCACGTGTATACAATGGTTTGAAACGGTCTGTGCAGTTGCCGCGTATGATAGCGGAGGCATTTGCAAAGCTCGCGGATAAAACTCGCGTAAACCAATCCGGGCCAAATTGCATCCTTGACCTAGCAGGGCCACGGTAATAATCTGGCGGTGCTACGGGTTGAAGCACGCGGGCCGAGTTGGTTAACGGGCTAGTCGGCCGAATACGTTAGGCACGGCCGTACGAGAACGTCGGTCGTTATTTAGCAAGAGAAAAAAGTCGTCGATGTCGTGCAACGATGCGGAATCACGCAAGCGACGTCGAACGGGCCGCTGGCGCTCACGCGATTCAGATGAAAATTTCGAATGTTGCGTGAGCCAGCAACGTCGACGACGGCGAAAGTCGTCCAGTGAAGCACGTCGATGTATGTCGCGGCACACGTGATATCCTCAGGTTAATTGAAAGGGAGCGTTAGACTTTAGACAGAGAGTTTCACTTTTTGAAAGAGTGCTATGTTTTATTTTAATCAATTGTTAGCAGTATAAAATTCATGGATTAGAGCTTCGCTATTGTTTGTTCACTACGATCATCGCATATACAGCTGTATTCTAAAGCGTCGTCTACAATGAACGCAAAACGCAAGACGCTAGGCCGCAAACAAGAAATCGACCAATCACAGTCGATCGTTCTTCTCATACTTGACTGCGATTGGTCGATTTCTTGCTTGCGGCCTAGCGTCTTGCGTTTTGCGTTCATTGTAGACGACGCTTAATATTCCCCAGCCAGTACTGAAAATCTATCCTTTATGTGATAGTTTCGCTTATTCTGCTGATTGTCGTGGAAGAACCGTCCAGGTCCGTCACGAGGTCCGTTATATAGTATGCCGGGCATCGTGTTCTTACTCACGAGTTTGGCGGCCATCTAGTGGCGGAATACCGTACTTTAAGTTGAAGTGAATTTTGGAGTGCCAACGACTTCACTTTAACAATAAGAGTACAATTCTTCCCTTTTTGTCTTAGAGAGAGAATTAATTCACTCTATCGGAATAAATATTTACTCGAATAGAGGGAAGTGGCCAGTGAAAGTTAAAATTATCCACTGTGTGATATTTAATAAATACTTAAATTAAAGAAACGTATGTTTTAATTTGTTTGTTAGTTTTTAAATTTAAGTTAATAAGCTATTAGGACCTACCTAACGAATAATTTTCTTGAGTAAAGTAATATCTTTTTTGGATTAAGATATTTTGTACGTACTCATCAAAGCCACACTACCACACGTACAACTTTTCTCTCATTGGTCCTGCCCAGAACAATGTCGGATGCGCAGAACGGATCGACGCAAAACGCAACAAATGACGGAGTGGACCTACTAGTTATACTACGATTCGAGTGAAGATTTCACTCCAAAAATTTTAGAGAGTACATTGTAAAAACAAACGACGATGTTTCCAGGTTTTAAATCGGTACATGTATATTTCTACATAGCTACACATTAACGTAAGTTACATTTGCATATTCAATGACCGGATCGTAACAGGCAGATCGAAGCCCAAGTTACTTTTATGTATACATAAAACGGGTATATTATGAAGTTTGTGACACGTTGGGTTACGCTTCCCGGAAGTATCGATTTTCATCGTAACCGGTCGAAGTGACAGACTGATATTTTGCATCCATTGTGACGCAAAATGTAACGCAACGAAGAACAATTCTTCCGTTATTATATATATTTATTAATGCCTCTTTACGATAAAATTCAACCGGTCTATTTAAATACCTATTGTTTAGAGCTGAAATAATCAATAATCTACGCTTTTCACACCTTGTTTCACGTTTTAGACTTCGAGTCTGTGTCAAACAAATCGACTGATCGTATCTCGATTTTACGCAATTTTCGGTTTTACTGTTTGAACACTTATTTAGGACCAGAATGAGCGTTTAAACAGAAAAACCGGAAATTGCGTAAAATCGAGATATGATTTTGCGAAAGAGATGAGTCGAAATATAACGAATGAAAGAAATATTAATTCATTTGATAAGTGCTTTAAATAGATAAGTATAACAATATTAAAAGAAATCTATCAATTGGTTAAAAATATTAGTACTTTATCTAAACGATACGATACAAGCAAAGTGATTTTTTTAAAAATATTAACGTTTTTATAATAAACGCGTTAAATGGTACATGAACTAGTCGGAATTGTGGCTGCGTAAATACTTTTGCATAAAAAATTTGACACAACCCGTAAGAAGGCGAGAGAAGGAAAAAACGGCTTCGAGAAATAAGGTAAAATATAGCGAATCGATGGCATTCGGTATTCCCATCTTTTTAGCGCGACGACGTTGTATGTTAAAATGGAACAGAGCCATTAAATGGATCGACTGTTGCATCCAACACGAGGCGGCTGCTATTGTTTCATTTAACTGTGTGAATGACACTCTGTAAAAGCGCGACTGGCAACGTACCGTCTAACTAGATGATGCATGCGATTAGCGCTGCGCTATTATAACGCGGCGATCAATTGTCGTATTACTTTCTGCTTGCTAAGGAATTCTAGTTATGCCTGATCGGGGAGGGGGGAGGAGAGGGGGGCGGGATGGTCGTTTATTCTACTCTTATTTTACTTTCTCTCGGCTCTTTACGAGTGTATATTTATATTTTATATATTTTAAATATATATGTTGAAAAACCGTGGAAAAATATACTAGACATCCGCAACGTTAGCAGAATTCTCGAAATAAGATCTTTATTTCCCGAAATGTCGACCTTTTTGTCTTCTTTCTCGCTCGCCCTGTTTTCCGTTTCATTTCCTCAATTTGTCAAATGAAAAAAGTTTCCTCGCCGTTCCTTGTTATCGCTTCCGAATCAAGCTCATAGACAATTTGAGTTCAATTCTGCAACGAACAGTAAAAATAAAAAGTTTATCTCTCTCGAGTGATTTGACAGTATATACTATAAAATTACGTCCATTGCTTTAATTGCTTTATACAGTTCTCTCGCGCGTTTCCAGTTGCCCAAGTTGTTACGGCAACGTGCAACGAAATTATCT